TCCCCTTTGCCTGCTCCTTCTCCCTACGCTGGTCCGACTGGAGGTCTTACTGAGCGTCGTGAGCCTGCGTCTCGTCCTGTGTCGCCTGTTCGTACTGAGCGCGCTAGTGGTCGCGGGTCGCGTCAGCGTCCTCCTCCTGTCCCTGGCACGCACCGGATGTCACTGCGTCCGTCCACTGCTCCTCTGCGTGCCCCTTTGCCTTCTCCTCCTGCTTCCTCTCTTCCTGCTCTTGCCGACCCGGAGTCGGACGCTCTTCGTGCTGCCAGTCCTACTGTCACGCGTCTCCTGGCTACTGCTGTCACTGACCCCTCCTTCGAGTCGTCTGCTGCGTCTGCCCTTGTCACTGAGCTTGTCGACTTTGCTGCGCGCTGTCGTCTAGACTACGCTGCTCGTCTTGTCACTGAGTCTGAGTCCGCCTGTCCTCCGTCCGTCGGGGGTGAGTGTGCCCTTGGCACGGACGTCCTTGAGGACAGGCAGGAGGAGTTCCAGTGTCTGGCCGCCGCTTCACCTCGTCTCGCGTCTGTACTGCTAGCCCCTGAGGGAGACCCGGATGCACCAGACATCCCGACTCCGCGCTCTTACGCGGAGGCGATAGAGGGTCCCTACTCCTCTCAGTGGCAGGCAGCTATGGATGCAGAGATGGCTTCCTGGAAGTCCACAGGCACCTACGTTGACGCTGTTCCCCCTCCTGGGGCGAACATCGTCAGTGGCATGTGGATTTTCAGGGTGAAGCGGCCGCCGGGTTCTCCGCCTGTCTTCAAGGCGCGTTACGTGGCTCGTGGCTTCAGTCAGCGGCAGGGGGTTGACTACTTTCAGACCTTCTCCCCCACCCGGAAGATGACCACTCTTCGGGTTCTGCTACACGTTGCTGCTCTCCGTGACTACGAGCTGCACTCTCTCGACTTCAGCACAGCTTTCTTGCAGGGCAGCCTGCACGAGGAGATCTGGCTGCGTCGCCCACCTGGCTTCACTGGGTCTTTCCCTCCTGGTACCCAGTGGAGTCTCCGGCGTCCAGTCTACGGTCTCCGCCAGGCGCCACGTGAGTGGCACGACACACTGAGGACTACGCTCGCGGCACTTGGGTTTGCTCCTTCCACTGCCGACCCGTCGCTGTTTCTGCGCACCGACACCTCTCTGCCGCCGTTCTACATCCTCGTGTACGTCGACGACTTGGTCTTTGCCACAGCTGACACTGCTGGACTCGCCTACGTGAAGTCCGAGCTGCAGAAGAGACACACGTGCACTGACCTGGGTGAACTGCGCAGCTACCTTGGCTTGCAGATCACCCGGGACAGAGCACGCCGCACCATTACCCTGACTCAGTCACACATGGTGCAGCAGGTCCTTCAGCGCTTCGGCTTCACGTACTCCTCGCCTCAGGCCACTCCTCTGCCTACTCACCACTCGCTCTCAGCTCTGCCTTCGGATGAGTCCGTAGAGTCGAGTGGCCCGTTTGCAGAGCTTGTTGGCTGCCTCATGTACCTGATGACCTGCACACGACCTGACCTCGCATACCCTCTTAGCATTCTCGCACGCTTTGTTGCTCCTGGGAGACACCGACCAGAGCACATGGCTGCAGCGAAGAGGGTGTTGCGCTACTTGTGCAGTACGTCGGGCATGGGACTAGTGCTTGGAGGGCGCAGTCCAGTGGTCCTCACTGGGCACGCAGACGCTTCTTGGGCTGACGACCAGGCTACGCAGCGGTCGTCTCAGGGTTACACCTTCAGCCTTGGTTCCGGCTCTGTCTCGTGGCGGGCTACCCGCTCGTCTTCTGTTCTCGGCTCCAGTTGTGAGGCTGAGATCTACGCTGGGGCTATGGCTGCACAGGAGTTACGCTGGCTCACCTACCTGCTGACCGACCTTGGAGAGCAGCCTCGTTCTCCTCCAGTCCTGTACGTAGACAACAAGGCCATGCTGGCCTTGTGTCGAGAGCAGCGACTGGAGCACAGAACGAAGCACATTGCTCTTCGCTACTTTCTTGCTCGTGAGCTACAGCAGCGTGGACAGCTGCGACTTGCGTACGTGGCCTCTGAGGCCAACACTGCTGATGTCTTCACCAAGGCACTTGCGCCTTGTGATCATCAGCGTTGCTGCACGCAGTTGGGTCTTGTGCCTGTCTTGCCTCACTTGCTCTCCTCTTGACCTTGCTTGTACCTTCACATATATATATACTCTTGCTCTTGTATATCTCTATATATGATCTTGCATGTGAACTGGCCTTGTGGCCTTTGAACTTGTGCTCGGAATGCGTGGTGACTTTGTGATCCACCCTGAGCTTTGCTTTGCTTTGCTTGACTGGTCTTGTGACCCCTTGTTCTCCCCCACTTTGCCTATGGGGGTGTGTCAGAACATATAGCTTACTTGTTTCTGTAGGCTATAGTGGGGTATCCCATAGGGGGTACAACCCAATTAGGGTTTCCTATTTGTACTCACTTCGTTCATAGTCATTTCATTCTCGTTCTTTGTTTCCACACGTACGTGGCCTCTGAGGCCAACACTGCTGATGTCTTCACCAAGGCACTTGCGCCTTGTGATCATCAGCGTTGCTGCACGCAGTTGGGTCTTGTGCCTGTCTTGCCTCACTTGCTCTCCTCTTGACCTTGCTTGTACCTTCGCATATATATACTCTTGCTCTTGTATATCTCTATATATGATCTTGCATGTGAACTGGCCTTGTGGCCTTTGAACTTGTGCTCGGAATGTGTGGTGACTTTGTGATCCACCCTGAGCTTTGCTTTGCTTTGCTTGACTGGTCTTGTGACCCCTTGTTCTCCCCCACTTTGCCTATGGGGGTGTGTCAGAACATATAGCTTACTTGTTTCTGTAGGCTATAGTGGGGTATCCCATAGGGGGTACAACCCAATTAGGGTTTCCTATTTGTACTCACTTCGTTCATAGTCATTTCATTCTCGTTCTTTGTTTCCACAGGAGTTACCTCGGGACATTACGGAGTAGAAAAAACACGGCAGCAGCTGCAGCGGTACTATTACTGGCCGGAAATGTTGACCGACGTGCAACGACACGTGGCATCGTGTCCCACTTGCCAACTCATGAAGTCAACCAGGAAGCGGCCGGCAGGACAATTACAACCAATCCCACCTCCAGAGCGTGCTTGGCAGCAGGTGACGATGGACTTCGTCACGGGGTTACCGGCCGGGGCGAGTGGGAATGACGCGATCCTGGTCGTCGTCGATCGACTAACGAAAATGGCACATTTCGCAGCATGCAGGAAATCAATCACAGCCGACGAAACAGCCCGACTCTTCATCGCCACCGTCGTTCGACTGCACGGGATACCAGCGTCGATCATCAGCGACAGGGACACGAAGTTTACCAGTAATTTCTGGCGGAACCTGTGGCAGTAGTTCGGCACGCTACTTCAATTCAGTTCATCGTATCACCCCGAAACCGACGGACAGACAGAACGGACAAACCAGACTATGGAGCAACTCATTCGAGCCACGTGTGACGATCCAAACACGTGGGAGCAGCAGCTGCCTCTCATCGAGTTCGCATACAACAACGCGCCATCTGCCACGACCCAACAGTTGCCATTCTACTTGAATTACGGACAGAACCCAACAGTACCCATGACACCAAACCCCGACAATCCCGTTCCACGCGCACAACAGTTCGCCGAGATTTTGCAAGCAGCACGGACCAGGGCAGCAGAAGCAATTAAAAAATCAAATATCATCGCTAAACGCAACGCCGATCGCCACCGCAGACCCGTCACTTATCAGCCCGACGACCTTGTTTTACTCGACACTCAGAACCTCCGCCTGCCCATCACTCCCAAACTCTGCCCTCGATACTGTGGGCCTTTTCGAATCAGTCACATGATCACACCTGTCACCGCGCACCTCCTCCTTCCTGCTGACTGGTACGTCAGCCCCTCGTTCCACGTCAGCCTGCTTCGCCCTTACGTACCATCCACCAGCCAACTCCCACGACATCGACCATCCAGCATGACACGACCACCAACCGAACCAGTCATCACCCCCAACAAAATCTTGAGCCACAGAGTTCGCGACCCTCGAGGGGCCCGAAAAGTTGAGTTTCTGATTCGTTGGAAAGATCGAACACCCACCGAGGACAACTGGGTTCCCCTGGACAGAATTGAAAACCACCCTGTCGTCACCGACTATCTACGCGACCGAAACTTCAAAGACGTCCACGCGCTTTCGTAAGGAGGACCTTTTAGGAGGGGGGGGTTGTGTTAGGAAATTCCCGGTAACCCGCGCTCCGGGCCTACGCTTCGACACGTTCCCGACCTCAGTCCCAGGCTCGTCGCGCGACCATTACCGTTACCACTGTAGTTTCGCTATATATTCTTCACTCATGCCTTCGCTCATTTTACTCTTGCTTCGATAGTGCAATTCTCGTTCGTTCACTCAATTGCACTCGTAACAGGTTGGGATCACTGAATCATGTGAACAATTAGGGTGCGACTTGAGTAGAATCTGGATAACTTCGAAATACAAATATATGAACTGTTCGCTCTCTATATGGAGGAAATTTCGAGTACTGTGCGAAGTGGTCGAAGTCCTTGTGGTGCTGCGATTCGGCTGTGGCCCACATGACATCCCACACTCGCCGAACCGCACATTTTGCGAGGGCAGCTCTCTCCAACCCAATGGGATTGATGAAGACGTCCACGCAATTCCGCCCCGCAACACTTGCCCACACTAACCCACGAAATCCACCTGTCGAACAGCACGAGCGAATGAACCCAAACATAGGAAGACTGGCGCGGTTCGGTCATTGGAGCCCAATCACTAACTACAGGTCATTAGAATGCAATCCCAGCTAAAGCCACATTAGTAGTACGCAACAGTCTCTCGATGATTCCTTGGTGCTCAGTATATTTTCGTTCACGGTCTTCCCTGGAAGCCTGAGAAAAGGTACACGTAAGCCACGCGAATCCTGGGCTCATAGTTGATAGTCACGCCGATTTGTGTTACCGTTGAGAGCGCTACGCGTTGATCCGTACAGCTATCATGGACGTCAGAATTCAAGCGGCTCTTTTGCTCTGCCTCCTCTCCTCACCGATTTTCTCCCACGCGTCGCGCCCGTGGCGGGCAGAACCTTCAACGCACGACCCGCCGACACAAGAGACGTCGCGTTCGGAGTCCATCGAGCCGCTCGGTCTGGACGAACTCCGACCGGACACAGGAATCCGCGTCCCGGAATCTGTATCGACGGCGCTTTCGGCGTGGGACGACGACGACAATAATTTGAGCGCCACGGCCGTCGACGGAGCCGCGGCGGCGGCGGCAGCAGCGGCGGCGGAGGCGGCGGATGATGCATTTCGTGCGTCGAATGGCCCCGAGTCTCAAGGTTGGAGCGAGGACGGGGCGCTGCAATCGGAAGAAGACAACATGAACGTGGTTGTAGCGGGTCAAAACAGCGTCGTGACTTTTAGCGAGGAACTTGTAGCGGACGAAATTCCCTCGGATGTAGCGGAGGTTATCCCCACGGCTGTAGCGGAGTTCCCGGCAGCAGGCAGTGACTTGGAGGAGCGCGACAATGTGGCTGTAGCGGGGCAGAATACGGTCGTGATCTTTGCAAAAGAAGCCACTGCCGTTGGCGGCGAAACGGATACAGCAGAGAAGGCGGAGGAGAAGGCGGAGGTGAAGTCGGGTGCGGAAGAGAAAGCGGAAGAAAAGGCGGAAGAAAAGGCGGAGGTGAAGGCGGAAGAGGCGGCGGAGGAAGGCGCGGAGGGGCAGGACATCGCGGCGGAGGTGGAGGCGGCGGCGGAGGAAGCCGCCGCCGCCGCTGCTGAGGCGGCAGCAGCTGTAGCCACGGCCGCGGACGCTGACACCGAGACGGCTGTAGCGGCGGACTCGGAGGCTGTAGCGGAAGGCGACGTGGTGAGCTCCGACGGCAACGAGAGTCCAGCAGACGGTGAAACAGAGGGTGCTCCGGCCGAGACGGCTGTAGCAGCGGGCGCGGAGTCTGTAGCGGAAGGCGACGCGGTGAGCTCAGAAGGCAGCGAGAGCCCAGCAGACGGTGAAACAGAGAGTGCTCCCGCAGAGGGCTCTGAAACGGCGAGCCCTGAAACGGAGACTTCTGCAGTGAATGCCCCTGAAACGGAGAATCCTGAAACAGAGACTTCTGCGTCAGCGGAGGCTGGAACAGCAGAGTCTCAGTCCACTGAGGCAGCAGATACGGAGGCGGAACAAACTGCAGATTCGCATTCCAGCGCTGAAGATTCTGAATCTGGGAGCATAACCAGCGAGAGTAGCCCTGCCAGCGAGAACGAGGGCGATTCTGAGGGTGCTGCTGCTGACGGTGCGATGAGAACTCTGGATGATGGGCCGACTGCGGAAGAGATTTTGCCGGAAGGGTCTGACGGATTGGAAGAGGGAGCTGCTGCAGTCGCCGTCCAGTAGAGGCTGTGAGATAATATGCGAGAATAAAACAGCGCACACAAATGAATAAGTGGTAGCGCATGTCTGTCCGTTCGTGCGCTGCACATTCAGTAAATAGCTTGTCCGTTCCTGCCCCTTCCCAGGGTACTGCTGCTAAAAAACCTTGTGTTTGTGTTGCTTATTAAGCACCATTTACCTTTTCAATTATGCCAGCAACACCATTTGTACGCTAGCTGCAAGATAGAACAAAGCTCCTTAGGTGTAAGGAATTTTCCTTACTGCACTGCTCGCTCAACTTAGTGTACAAGACCGACCGTTCTTCGCCCGTTACAGCTAACATAGTTTTCGTTTCCGTCGTGCGCTGCATTTACCAAACCATGCATCACTTGCCTGGCCGAGTCGGCCTACACTTCAGGACTAGCCCGAACCTCGCTGTCAGCATCGCACCAGCTACCGATATCTCTCATGCACCGCGTTACTGTTTGCATGTTTAGCTTTTGGGTAATTCTCGTGCCTTCACTCAATACTTTGGACTCTTTTGACAAACTAGTGCAATCCTCGCTACCTCGCTACATTGCACCTGTAACATTAGGAAAGTATAGACTTCGGAGCCCGTATTTGCCATCCATCAGATAGAAGTACAGACAGTTTGATTTGTGTTGGAAACAACTAATTCTAAGCGCCTCTGTCGTGTCGAAACACCAAGTCAGAAGCGAAGCAAAGTATATCGAAGCACCGGCGAGTCAACCCTCGGAGGTTGAGCAGTTGCTAGAGGTTACGCGAAAGTCAAAGGTCAGCGACCTTTGACTTGACAAGTACAGCGCGACAGCAAGGACACGAAACCGACTCGCTACTGAGCAGTTGCCCGAGTCGTCACTGCATAGAACCGCAACAGCAACAGTAAAGCAGTTGCGACCGTATCTCTTCGTATTCCTTGTACTCTTATATAATCTTGTATCTCTTTGTTTTAATCAATTACTTTGCCCCCACATACCAGCGCAAGGTGGTTCATAACACTTCATCAAACGCTTCCGCTATTACAACAAGTCCTACCTAGAGTTTAGATTTGCAAAGATCCTAAGGGCTTTTCTCAGCCCAACATGGTATGAGAGCTAACAGGGGGAACTCATTTACTATAAAGTCATCTACAACGTCAGAAGGCATGGCAACACAAAAGGAAAGGAGCTCCTGTAACGGCTCCCCGGGTACTACTCCTACTCCACCTCCTGCCTCTGGCCTACAGACAGAGGAGGGTACGGCAACAAGACCAAGAGCAACTTCTACTAAGACTCCTGCGAATCAACTTGCAGGCTTAGATCAGAGCATGATGGAGAAATTTTTCTCCTTCATGTCCTTCTACGAGCAACACCAACAGTCGGCACCTGCACAGTCAAACAACACCAACAACAACAACGACGTGACTCCAATGAGCCTTGATGGTTCATCCTACGCACGTGGAAATCAGTAGCAGCAACCTACCTTTGCTCCGTACGAGCCCCAGCGCGGCTCCGTCAGCTTTATGCCACAACCGCAGCCTGCACCTGGACAAGAGAAGACACTAGACGCACTTCAAGTTCAGTCGCAGTTCGCGCACGTCTTAAGACTTCAGACGTCAAGGCCCTTCGACGGAAAGGACTTTTTCACCTGGTCGTTCGAGTTCGAGTTAATGATGGAAGGCGCGCAGATTCTCGTTTTCTTCAACGGGTCCTTGCCATATCCAACAAACGGTACGCAATACGACAAGCAGCAGTACACATATCAGTCAATGATGGCGTACACGATTCTACTGAGGAACATCACCCCGAATCAGCAGCAGAATATGCGGTCTTACCGGGGATACGGCAACTCCGCGGAACTCGCATACAGCCACTTGAAGAGCCTGTATCAAGCAACAGACTGCGTAAATCAGAGTCGGTTGACGGCGCAACTGACAACAGTCGAGATGAAACCAAGCGAAAAAGGAATGGCGTATATCAGCCGCTGTCGCAAACTACGCGACAAACTCCTTCGATGCGGAGGGTCAATCTCCGAAGAAGCCTTCGTCACAGTCGTCATCACTGGACTGGGTCCTCGTTGGCGCTCCACTCGAACTATTCTCCGAGCTCACGAGAAGATCTCCGAAGCGGCACTCTGCGCCGAAGTCCATGCCGAGCAGCGAGGCATGGACCTGCAAGAAGAAAGACACAAGAGGAAGACGTCAACACCTGAGTTCGCCTTCCACACTCAGCAACGCTACAACAACAACAACAGCCGACATCAACCAAAGCCTGTACCTCCATTCTGCCATCTCTGCAAGACGTTAGGACATCCGCGCACACACTGACCGAATCGACAACAATCAACACCGCCACAGCGACAGCTTCGACCTTCAAGCAGCCAAGTCGCTTCAACACAAGCGAACCCCACCGCTCAAGTTCAAACGACATCAATGGGACAACCTGCACAAGGAGCAAGGAACATCGTCAGTTGTATGGCAAGACTGAGCGACTCCTGCATCACCGAGTCACCGCCACACTACTCACCGGAAGAGCAACTCGACAACACCACACCTCGCCGCGAGTCACTTCAACCGAACCCAACGTACGCAGCCATCGCCCAAAGCGAGCCATCCGGAAAAGACACCTGGTTCTTAAACAGTTGTTGCGTGCAGCACATGTGCTCTTCGAGACGTTTCGTTCAGCGCGAGCACCAACTTCAACGCGAAGTCGTCATTACCGTCGCCAACAATCAGAACCTGCGCACACGACGACAAGGCGTGGTTCAACTTCAGTCAAGGGAAACAAACGTTATACTGCAGATGTCAAAGGTATTAACCGCGGAGGGACTTGGCTACAACTTACTGAGCGTCAGCCAGCTAATGGTGAAAGGCATCCACCTTGAAGCAGATAGCATCACTCAGGAGTTCAAGTTGTACCACGGAAGAGGAGGTCTCTACATCGGCAAGGCATTCCTGAAGAACAACGTCTTCGTCCTCGACTTCGTCCCAGACCTTGGCACAGCTGACAGCGACGGGATCGTCACCTTCACCTCCTGGACACATCCACCGGATCTTGACCCCAACTTCAGCCCCGAAGGATTCTGGTACTCGCACACCATTCCTGAAGCAGAAAGAACAAGAGCCTTAGTGACAATTCAACATTCGGCAGCAGCAGAGACAACATCGGCAGCAGCAGAGACAACATCGGCAGCAGTAGATACAACATCGGCAGTAGTAGAGACAACACCGGCAGCAGCAGAGACAACATCGGCAGCAGCAGAGACAACATCGGCAGCAGCAGAGACAACATCGGCAGCAGCAAAGACAACACCGGCAGCAGCAGAGACAACATCGGCAGCAGCAGAGACAACGGTAACAGCAGTGGCAACATCAACACCAATTGCTGGTCCTTGAACGGCACCGATCTTCGTCGATGACACACCGCCGACACCCGCGCAGCAGCTAAAATTGGCACCACGAGAAGTTCATCGAAGCACCAACTTCACCGCCAGCTTCTACTCCAACTCCGACATGTACCGACGTTCACCCGGACACCGCGCCAGCGAAGAAATATGGCATGCACGGATGGGACACCCAAGCAACACAACGTTAAACAACACGATAAGAGCAGGAGTGCTCGACAAAGACTCGCTCCTACTACATGACGGGAGAGAACTCCAACGAGTAAAAGGAACGTGCTTCACATGTCCTGAAGCCGACTTACCGCATCAGCCGTTTGTCCCTCACCACAACCCGAGTGCACCAGCATACGCACCGCTCGAAAAGGTGTACAGCGACATCCTGTACAATCGCGTACCAGGATAAGGAGCTTACAACTACACCATCACCTTCATCGACGCTGCCACTCGATACGTTTGGCACCTGAACCTTCCGAGTCGCGACATGGCTTTCGAAGCCTTCGTCACCTGGCTTCCAGCAGCAGAATGAGAGTCCGGAGTAAAGCTAAAGAGTTTTCAGTCAGATGGAGGCAGAGAATACACCTCACAACGCTTCAAGGACTACATGGCAGAGAAGGGAATCAAGAGGCTCATCTCCCTTCCTTACGCCCATCAACAGCAGGATGTAGCGGAAAGGATGAACAGAACCCTCCAGAACACAATGCGCAAGCTGCTATGTGGCATGCGGCTACCCAACCACCAGTGGCCCGAAGCAATGGACCACGCTATCATGCTGCGCAACTTGCTCTCGTCATCATCGCTTCCGAACAACGCATCACCGCATCTGCTGTGGACAGGAAAATTGGGCAGCACAAAAATGTTACGAGTCTTTGGCTGCATGGTACAGTACCGACCCCCATCTGCACGAGCCGGCCGATTCTCCCAACGCGCAAAGTGGGGGCTACACCTGGGCATCGAAAAGAATTACAACGCATGGAAGATTTTTTACGTCCACACCAAGGAAACAGTGGCAGCACGTGATGTGATTTTCTACGAACGACTCACTCTCGACTCCTACCTAGCCAACGTGGAAGAACAACGCGACCTCACCAGTGGACTTCGTGGAGACCGAGCCTTCGATTCCGCAGCGGACGAAGCTGACTGGGACGAGCTGAACGTGGACGCAGCCTCGGAGGAAGCCGGACCTCTTCCGTACTGCTCCGTCGATGTCCCAATGGATGACGAAAACCCTCGCGAAAGCGTCAACGCCGAAGTATTTTACCACTTAGCCGACAACGGTTACGTTACACCTGCAGAAGTCAACACCAACGAAGCAGAACGCATAGGGCCCAACTTCATACCTGACCCAGAAGCAGGTGACGAAGTAGCTTATCCCGCGGATACCACACTCCCCCGCTACACACAGAGTGGCCTCCAGATACTTGGCCTGGTCACTGCGGTCCACGGCATTGCGACTCCTAAGGAGCCTGCGACGGTTCAGCAGGCTCTGGGGGGGGGGAGCACAGGGAAAAATGGCGCGAAGCCATGGACAGGGAATTGAAGGCACTAGAGGAGCGCAACACCTGGAAAGTCGTTCCCATCAGTGTGGCACAAAACAAGACTATACTCACCGGGAAGTGGGTCTT